ATTTTCTACTCTTACTGTGATGTCAGTCAGAGTGGATATTCCTAATATGGTCATTGCAGGTTGTACCCACCGACTGTTAAAACCTTTTATTTGCGAGTGGCAGTCAATCAGAAGGAAGGTGGAGCTAAAACAGCTTGAAGGCCCTTGATAGGATTGTTTTATACTTTGAACCATGCAACAGTGTTGTAATAGAATTAACAATAAACATATAGGCTATGTAAAATCCCCCCTTTAGTATTGCAGGACACCCTAGTATGCCATAAAAACACAGTTAAAAGGAAAAACATACACTCATCATGTAAGCTTAACTGGGTAGGCTCTAAAGAGCACTTGTTTTTAGTGAATAAATATTGTGTAATTACAATGAGAACATGGACTAGCAGGATTTGGGAATCACACTTCAGTGGTCACCGGGAGTGCTAGCAGTTTCAATTCCCAAGCCTGTGATATGCTAAATTGTAGCTACTGAAACCAAACCTAATTTCAGGCTGGACACCCCCACCCCGACCAGCGAATCTTTCTTGACAGTACTGTACACGCTTGCAGTCACTTGGGTGATTTCATGGCTCTTAACCAAACACAAAGGCTCCATTATGGCTCCGCTCACTGAAATAAACTCACTTTCTCTCCCCTATTCCTTCTCGCCCATTTTGTCCTCTTCCATCTCCTCCCACTCTTCCGCCTCCTCTTTAAATTCACACTTTCACCCACTTCTCTCTGAAATCAAATCTAAAGCCATATTTTCCATTTTGTTACCTCATTCTCGTGTGGAAGTGGGGGAAGACGGAAAGAAGGGGAAATAAGGCAAGGAAGACGAGGAATCGAGGAGAATGCGAGTATAATAATTAGCCCAGTAATTAGGTCTCGTCCCTAGTTCCCCCTCCCACCTTCCTGTCCTTTGAAGTTCCCTCCTCCAGACTACCTTGGATGCACTTGGGAGGCATCCAAGAGGAATGGGGGATCACAGGTGTGTGTGCGTGTGTGTGTGTGTGAGAGAGAGAGAGAGAAAGAGTGGGGGTTTTTTTTTTGCAATGCTGATGATGAAAAAGAGAGAAAGTTGTGGTGCACTCCCTCAGTGTCTTTCTGTCATTGGCAGATTGCTTGTTTTTTATGTTGAAACCCCCCACCCCCGTCTCTCTCTCTCTCTCACACACACACACACACACACACACACACACACACACACACACACACACACACACACACACACACACACACACATCACTCATATGTGCCAGATGCTGTATTTTCAACACACACAGATTCAGACACACACAGATTCAGACACACACACACACGTCACATGAGGTTCTTTGTTTTGGTTTGCTGCAGAGATAAAACCCGGCTCTGTTACACTTCTCTGTAAGGGAGACAAAGAGCGCTTATCTCATAACACTGAATGTGTGTGTCTGAGGGAGAGAATGCGTTTGTGTGAGTGTTTTCCAATGCAGTCATTTTATTTATGCATTGAAAAAATATTTTTTTCTTTAACTAGCTGGATTTTCAGTGTACTTAAGTCTGTTTTTTTGTTTTGTTTTGTTTTGTGGGGGGTTTTCCCTTGTGGATCTGTGTCTGTAGTCATGAGATCTACATGCTGATTTAGCCACCAGGGCTAGCATGACACACTTCCTCTTGAAAAGGAGGCTAATCACACGTTAAAAGATTTAAGTTTAAAGTTCAACACAAACCCACTATAGACGGATTGGATGGGAAATTATTCTAAAAAATGCTAAAGCAATAAATAAAAGAAGTTGCCAAAATAAAACTCTAATATCTCTGTGAGCAGTACCTTAGCATGTTTGCAATAGCTCAACTATTTTTTAGTTCTAATACAGCCAGAGCTGGGTGGCAACAGTGGGGGTGGCAAAAACTGTCCAATAGTAGGAACAAATGCTAAAAAATAGAAAATATACTTTGGTGACTCACATGAGTAAAGTCTTTTTAAGAAACAACATCCATGCACGCACCAATCAGTCCATCCTTTTTATCTGTTTATCTGAGCCTGGGTCGCAGGGAGCAGCAGCCTAAGCAGAGAAGAGGGGACGTCCCTCTCCTCAGCCACCTTATCACCTCCAGCTTATCCAGGGGAATGCCGAGGCATCCCCAGTCCAGCCGAGAGATATAACCTCAACCTGCTCCTTTCTGTGTGGAGTAGTGGTTCTACTTTGAGGACCTCTCAATTAGAGCAGGGCAATATGACCAAAAATATTTATACTTTATTATATTATAATTTTATACATTTGAAAGTTTGCGATAACAATATAACTGACGATATAATTGACACTAGACAAAATACTTTACAACTCCACAACTTTATTAGTGCAAAAAACCCCAAAAAAACATCAATGTATTTTCACTGTTTTTATGTGCATTAAAGTTATGTGAAAATTTAACAGTGCAAATGCAAAATCCTTGCTGACAGTTTAACCAAAAGGCATTTCCAGTGGAAATTAGCCAACATATCCTCAGCATAACCATGTATAATATCTGCAAAACTTAAAAACAGGTTATACACACACAATACGGTAATATTATGATGAAGCACAGTACGTATCACTCCGCGAGGCTCCGCCTACGATAGCCGTAATGCTCAAACAATCCATCAAGCTGTGCAGGTTCGTAGCTTAGCAAAGTCGTACTAAAACATTTGACAGATTTTCGAGCGCCGTGTACGACATAAAATCATTTCAAGGTCAGTAAACACAACCAGAATTCATACATAAGGCGCACGGGATTATAAGGGACTCTGTCGATTTTCAGAAAAATCAAAGGATTGATTTTAAGTGTGCCGTATTTTCCAAAAAACACTGTAATAACGACGGCCTGCTAGCATGCTCTACCAAAAATAGTGCTTTGTTGTGTATCTGACAGACGAAAGCTAAACCAGTTCCACACCACTGAAGTTGCAGCATTTTTACAAACCAATTCTGGTTCATCAGTTTCATTCAACGATCCGCTTTCGTCCTTCTCATGCTCCGTCGCCACCATGCTTTTTTTTCTCGCCATGTGCGTATGAAACCAAAGGCACTGCGCATGCGCGTTTTACCCATATTCTATCGCGATATTTCATTTTCTTATTGTTGCCCAACATTATACCGGTATTACTGTGAACAGTATGATATGGCCCAGCCCTACTCTCAACTGCACTCTTTACTGTCTCTGAGTAAGAGGCCGGCCGCCTTTCAGATAAAGCTCATTTTCACTGTTTGTTTCTACAATCTTGTTCTTTTGACGACTACCTAAAGCTTGCGACCATAGGTTACGGTTGTAGCTCGACTGGTAGATTGACGGCTTTGCTTTTGTACTCAGCTCTCTTTTCAACACGAGGGGGCGGCGGAGCGTCTTCATCACTGCAGCTGACGGCGCGGTTTCCTTGGATTGGGCCAACGCGTTGATGCAGTGCGGCCCCAAGCACGGGCGATCTGCAGTAACTCGCTAATGGAGATTTGTCGCGTTAATGCGGTTATGGCGGTAACGTCATTTTAACAAGATTAACGCTGACAGCACTAAAAATAACACATAACACAATTAATGAACAGAAGAAAAGTTATGCAAAATTTTGGCACTTATTTAGTTTCACTTCAGTGTTTTTTACTGACATTCATGGTCGTGATAGTTTCTGCTTCCTGCCTTTTCATTTTTAGTCTTTGCATCTTGTTAGCCAAACTGTATGGAGTAAACAAAAACATTGTTTTTTGTTGGAGGAAAGCATGTATTGTAACTGAGAACACTTGAGAGTTTTTACCTGCTGCTTACCTGGTAGACCCACAGTGAACTAAGTGTTCCTAAAGTTATTTTGCATAAATTATTTTAAAAAATATTTTATTTTTGTATTATTTTGCATAATTATATTGTCAGTAATATTGTAATTTGACACAGACAGTGGTACTCCAGTCAGACCTTCAACAGCCTTTAACCTGCTCTGTTTTGTAGCAAAACGTCTGTGTGATGTTGATGTGCGAACGGCATCACTAAATGTTGGTTAGCATTTACTGATAGCAAAGGGGGCGAGATCAGTGTTATAGCCAAGATTAAATAGTTTTTAATCTTCAGCATTTATTGATCACACATCACTGCAGTCTGGGATGATGCTGCAATATATATTTTTCTCAGGCCTAGTTAACGCACAAAACAAACATTATGGTTTTGTGTTGGTGAGGTTACAGTCACATGTGCTGATATTGACTGAAGCCATTTTCGCTGTGCGGTGTCATGGATGATGTATTAGTGAAGGTGCGCGTGTGTGTGTGTGTGCGTGCGTGCGTGGACAGGCAGATGGGGTCTCCTGAGTATGAAGGGAGCTAACGACCTTGAGAGAGAAATGAAAAGAGAGGCATGGTGACGGCAGGGGTTAGCGTGTTTTGTGCCGAGGGTCAGGCAGCATGGGCAGGGCATTTCTGCTGCCGCTGCTTCCTCACTGCATTTCCTCCACTCAGCCTGCCTCATAAGTGCACGCACACATACTCACACTCATGCACACGCACACATTGACGAGGCGATACCGCAGCGACACAATGAACACGGTCTGGCTTCAGGCAGATTGAGCAAGGTGTTTCCTGTGACCTGAACAACTGCTGCGTCAACAGAAATACATTCGTCTGGAACAACACTGGCAGGCGCTCGCAGCCGTGCACAGCGTGTACGTGTGTCTCGGCAAACTGATTTGACTCTGTCAATTAGCGCTCATTAATTTCTCCTCGTTTGAATGCGTGAGCGTGTGTGTAAGTGAAAACAGCTGTGTTCAAGTGCATGATGGTCATCCTTTATTCATGCTTCGTTCATGGTTTATTCATGTACTGTTGAAGCATTTGCAAAGTGAATGAATATTGGATTAAAAGGAGCTTTGAGTTATTCATGAGCGGAGATATTTTGGACTGTACGGGTGCTCACAAAATCTTCAACATCGCACAAGAATGCACAAAATAACAGCACAGATGAAAGCAGTCTTCTAAATGTTGCATTCTTTTGTAGCTGACTCTGTGTTTTTGTGTGTCCTGCAGGCCGCACATTGCCCTGTTATGGAAAAGATGAAGAGGATTAAGAAGCGTCTGTCATTAACACTCCGCCCCAGTCAGACCATCGACGAGTCTCTGTCAGAACTGGCTGAGCAAATGACCATTGAAGATGGTGGCACCAAGGACAACGGTATTCACCTTTTCTTTTTACAAATCCTTTTCTAAAAAAGATATGAACGTATAGAAATGTTGAAATACAAAAGAACAAAATGGTAAAAACATATTTTAGTTGCAGTGAATAAAATGAGGATGATTCATTTTAAAAGGGTTACAATTCCATTAAAAAAATCTCTGATTTGAGTCCCTGCCTGATCTGCACCAGCGTAGAAAATTCTACCAGTCTGATTTTTCTAAGTGTTTTCTTGTGCATGCCCTTCAGCTGATATGTAAAAGCTAGAAGGACACGGGGGTTTTGTATCTCGACATCTCTCAGGGACTTCTAAATTATAAATCTCTGAAGCTGATGAAGACAAAGTTCAGCATGTGTGTCAGTAACAGTTGTAAAGGCCTTCCTCCAAGTACCTCTCTACCGAGTTATGTAAGAGGAGTAAGAGCAGAGCACTTAAAGACACACACACACACACACACACACTGAGAGCTTCTCAGACGATCAGAAAGTAGTCCATAGTGAATGATCATTCACAGACATCCAATCTTTTTCTGCTTTTCCCTCATATGTGCTACACCACGTCTCCAGTGAACCTTTGGGTTGATAGACACATGACCATAAGTGGCTGCTGCTTTTGATTGACAGCTGTCAGGATAAATGAACATTAATCACTTCATTAATGTGTACTTAGTTTGTAACTTTTTTTTGGTGTGACAGCATCATGATTGAAACGTTAGCAAAATCCATCCGCTCACAGTTGAAAATGGATGGAGGATGCACTAAAGGACTTTGGAACTTTCTGTTCCCATCAATCGAATCAAGTGCAGAATGAAACCGTGTCTGATGTTTTTGTATATATGTTAAAGGTCCATATGGGAGAAAGTGTTTTGTAATGTTTTCTTAGAGGAAAGGGAACTTAATTGTTGTGAGAGCCCCACATTATGCTTTCAAATATTTGTATACTTGGCCATTTTTCCCTCAGTATTACAATCCTTTTTTTCCGGTTTGCTGTTGTTTCTTTTTTTTAAATTATGTCCACTTAGGTCTGTGAAGGTTCTCAGTCATCCAGGTCATTGTAGTTAAAGGAGCTTGCAAAGAAAAGCGTCTGGACTTCTTTAAGTTGCTTGAAGACGTTTCACCTCTCATCCGAGAAGCTTCTTCAGTTCTAAGGGTCAAATGGTGGAGAAATGATGATGATCTCAGGAATGATGATCTCAGGAATGATAATCTCACACCAACTCTCCACCATTTGACCTTAGAACTGAAGAAGCTTCTCGGATGAGAGGTGAAACGTCTTCAAGTAACTTAAAGAAGTCCAGATGCTTTTCTTTGCAAGCTCCTTTGACTATGTCCACTTAGAAAATTATTTTAGATGCCTTTTTTTTTTTCTAATTTTGGGGTTAGAGAAAGTCTATTCTCGTGGTTGCAGAGGCATTCCCAGAGAGTAATTCCCAAAGGGAATAGTTGGACATTGAGCAGAAAACTTAAAAACAGAAACAAAACTGCTTTTACTTTGTTTGTATTTTGACTTCGCTGTTTTATTCTAATTGCTATTCAAGCAATGAAAGGTGAATCATTTCTCAGTACTGACATCTATCATTTAGGAGTAGACTGCAAACCTCCACAGACTTTTTTTTTTTTTTATCTTATTTTGAAAGCCTCTAGCCCTTCCCTTCTCTTGTTTCCCCACTGGCTGACTCACCGGTCATGTTCTTATCATGGCGATTGTCGTTATCATTCAGTTGCTTTCCCAGAGGCAATCTAGTCCCGTCCTGCAGTGGGGCATACTCTTGACTCCTCTATTTTTGACAGCAGCAGAAAGGATACACTGCAAATACAGTTCACAGCCAAGCTTTCTTTGCATTAGCTGGCTTGACAAAGCCTAAAAACCCAGTAAAGCACAACAGTTTTGTAAATAAGACAAAAGATGAGTGCTGCAGAAAACTGTTAATCTCACACAGAGCGCTAAAATAAATGTTTTAATTCCAGTTGAATTGCTACTGTTGAATTGTAAGGTGACAGCTGGACATTAGATTTCTAAAACTTTAAACTGGATTCATTTAGACATTATTACTGTCCCACAGCCTAATAAAGGCCATGTGGAAATCCCTTTATTATGTCAGCAGTTCAAGTTGAAATCAAACTCACTGATTGAACATCTATTCTTGTGTGTTTTTATCTGTTTTAGTTGCTACAATTCCAGCAATGTAAAAGAGACTTTTACAGCAGATTAGAGTTCAACAACATATAGATATTCCTGTGTCAATGTGGTGCTTCATTCAGGTTTCAGCAAGGAGCAGCTTGACATCTTGCACATATAAGACTTATTGGCCCAAAACATAATCTATATGGCACTTAGAACATGCTGTAAATTAAAGAACTTGAAAAGATGTGGCGCTTCCAGCTGAATTTAAACCACAAGAGCCACTTTCATGACACAGAAAACTCTGACTTTAAGCTCAACATAGCCCGCTAAGCCTTTAACTAGCTGTGTAGCACACCTCTCTGAACAAGAAGTACCCTCGCAACTGCAGTCTTAAGACCTAGTTGGATTAGAAGTAATAAGCAAGATAATTATGTCAGTTGATCACTTCATTTCTTAAGAAGGACCAAAATGCTCATAGAGCGTTCGCTCTCTATATCAACCTTTGTAGTCAAGGTTTGCACAGTGTGTAGGACTTCTGTGAGCATGAGGGGATCATGTTAGGTATCCCTTTGACATCATACAGAACCAAGAGCACAAAAATCTGTATAAAACAACCTGAAGTCTCAGTCTTTGACTCACGGAGTATTTGTGTGTGTGTTTATTTGTGGTATTATTCTCCTCTTAGCATAGGTTTGTCACTCTGGGCATTACATAACTCTGGAGAATATTTGATGTCGTCTCATGTTTATTTCTACCCATCTCCCTGTAATTGAGGCTGAAGGTTGGTATTTTTTAACATTTCTGGATCTCAACTTAAATGTTAAATAAAATTCTGTTGGTTCAAACAAACCTCTGCTGCACAGTATGCATGTCACATAACCAACACATTTCAAAGGTTGAAGGAGATGGGGCGTGATATTCTTTGGTGCTCCGTGCGTGCACCCGAGGATTTGTGATTCCACTGTGGAGCATCTGGGTGTCATGAAATCAGACATCCTGACACTAGCTTTGTTGTGTTTCAGAGCCCTTCATGAGGAATGGCCGCCCACCCACCTCCCACAGCATGCACTCCTTTCTGCACCAGTACACCGGTTCCTTCAAGAAGCCGCCCCTGCGCCGGCCACACAGCGTCATCGGGGGCACTCTGGGATCTTTCATGGTGATGCCGCGCCATGGCAGCCGCCTGGGTGAGAACACAACACACACACACACGGATGGAAGTGAGCGATAGAAAAGCAGATGCCATCCAAGAGCAAACAGGAAACGTCTCACGATCCTGTGATTTCACATTTGCAGACAGATTCTGGGCATTAATCCCATGAACCCTTAGCAGGCTTGCTTTTTACCCAAGAGGCTGCTGGATGGGGGAACTCAGTCAAACGTTACGCAGTTTCCTGCGAGAACTGACTCATCACAGTCAAGCCTAGTGACGAGTCTCATCCTGACTGGTGGAAGTGAGATGATGTCCAGATGATTCAGAGCAGTAGCAGATTTCAAGGTTGGGGTTGAACAACCCACATGGTGGCAAAATGATTCACAGGATGTAGAAACATGGTCTGAGACGCTAATTCTAAATGTCGGTGAATACATCTTGATATTCAGTTCAAGTTCAAATAAAAGTGATGCTAAAATGTGGTATACATCATGGGACTTCCACACAGGACGTGCTGGGTTCAATGGGAGTTCAATTGAGCCACATTAACTGCGCGTTTGTCAAACTTTGTCCTCATAATCTACCGGAGCTCCCAATTTCTGTGCTTTTCTTGGTGCATCACTGTATGACACCATCCACTGAGAATAGAATAAAATAGAATAACTGGTTTCAGAGCGATGTGCTATGTGATAGCACCTTTAGACCAATTTTGTGACTAAACAGTTTTTGTATTCATGCTTGTA